AAATAATGTGATTTTATTCAATAACACATGAAAATTTTGAATTAAAAAGATGTAAAGTAATATATTATGCTTCTCCTAAAACAGTATCAAGTCAACAGTACCATAAAATTGAGATGTTGGGAAATTCATATAGGATGAATTTGAAGAAAAAGGTTTTATGTTAGTGAAGATTTCCTATCCCACAAGTCATTATGGTATGTCAAAAGCCAGTTTGTAATATGGTCATAAAGAAAATGTGAAGATTGACATACCATGAAGAGTCTTTTGACCACAAATCAGATGGATAGGTCAGAATGGCCTCAACTCTATCTAGTGATGCTTGCAACCGTCCTGAATTCATGTTGAATAATGATTCCTTGGTACCTAGAGCCCTGTTAAATTTATGGTTTGGAAAATAAGTCATACAAAAAGTTGGAGAGCAAATGGGCAAATGGCTAAGTTACACCCAGAAAAGGAAAGAACATAGGGAACAAGATAACAACAAAATTAAAACTGGCAACTACCAAGCAAGACAGAGTATATCATTATAGGATGGAAACAGTTGTTATGTTAAAGCTCATCATTATAATATGAGCACATATTTTAGAGGTTAATTGATAATTCCTGCTATTTATTTCTTCCTAGATGAATTTAAGGATAAGTTGATACAAGAAAAGGAACTTACCCGCTAACTTCTGGAAGAATATAATCAGCTCTCCAAGCAAAACGCAAATCCATGCCAGGAAACAAACCAAGTGATGTCTTGTTCTGAATTCGGGATATCCCATCCCCACCCAAACAGGTGGTAAGCTTCCATTTCCAACAAATTGCATTCAATTTAAAATTATGGCCTAAACCAACCTGTTCCCATGTCCATGAATTTGAGCAAGAGGATTACCAAAAAATTTTACAAAAATTATATTAGAAATCTGTTCTATATAGTTCTATCTAACAAAAGCATTATGGCCAAAAAAAAAACAGAAGGAATGAAAAATCAAACCTGGAGATTGAGAAATTTGGTAACAGGGATCTTTTTCGAAAGAACTCGAACCTCAGAACGAATAGGCTCATATACAAATTTCCACCTTCTATCAGGGGATAAAGGCTTCAACACAAGCTTTGTTTGGAAATCATTGGTGGGGGCATTGTAGAACTGAACCAAAAAAAGGCTAAACTAACCTCAATCATTCAGTACATATACAACAATTCAAGGCCAAAACAAACAAAATCACAGCAAAATAACCTCTAAATTGAGACCAATTCGAACCCCCTCGATTTCTTTTCGAAACTTGAGGAACAACTCCGATGGCACCAAATCGATATTGCAAAGGTCATCCAATGAAGTGGGTTCTTCCCCATTCGACACAGGCTCCATTTTTTGAACCAACCCAAACTGAAAAACCAATTTTAAAGCGCATACAACCATGGTAAAGCCACATTCAATCAAAATTCTAACCGCAAAACACTATCAAAGTTCAGTATACTTTTAGTCAGTGGAAGCCTAGAATTCTTGAGTTTCGAATGTTGAAGCCACGGCGAAGAATGCTTACCTTTATGCCGATACTGGGTGTGTAAAAGGGTATTTCATGCGCAATTTCGAGGGAACAAATAGTCTCTTTCTTACAGGTTTGCTCTGGTTCTGTGGCGGACGAAAGCTCCGGGGAATAAGAAGATGGTGCTCGGTGCTCCGGCAATTTTGGTGGCAATGAGAACAGGGATTTATTTATTTATTTTTTATGTGGGCTGAACTCTGGGCTTAAATTGAAGGAGCACCATCAGGCCCTATTGCAGTTTGATTATTATTATTTTTTATTTTTACTTTTTATATTTAATGGTGAGATATAGCACAAGATATAGCATTTCCGAATTGATTATAAATATGTTAAAGTATTCGAAGTTTAAAACATGTATGCATTCTGCACTTGGGTCTTGTGATTTGAGAATTCTATATCCAATTATAAAGTTAGAGTTGGAATTTGAATTTCTCATCTTTATTGTAAATTGTTAAAAAATATATATAAATACATGCATTTTTTATCATTTAATAGTTTTTTATTTTTATTATTATTATTTTTACAATATAAGTAACTCTTTTTTATGTTTTAACGTATTCTACTCATATAATATATAATTTAAATTTAAAAATTCTTATTTTTATTATAAAAATATTGTTATTAAGTTACTTAAATTATTAGCACATCATTCAATACTTGATTCTAATGGTTTGCAATGATTAAATTATTCAAAACTAATAACTTACTTCTTTTTAACACTCAAAACTTTCATCTCTCACCCCTTCTTTTTTTCTTTTTTTTTTCTTTTTGAATTTTGAAAATCGAGGGATGAGGAAGAGGAATAGGAAATAAGGAGTTTTGAACCTGAATTGCGTAGGTGAGATACCCATACATTAATTACATGAGTTGCTATTAAGGTTTTCTCACCCTCTTCCTTTGAAATTAAATTCTTCTAAAAAAACTTGTATAATTTTTCTAAGAAAATATTTGTATCAATAACTTACAAATAACTATTTATGAATTTTACTCTTTTTTGTTATAACATGGATATTTAAGTTATTATCCTAATTAATCTTATAAATATACTTTTGAAGCAATACTCTATGTGGTTTAGTGATGGTCACGCTATTCATTGGGCAGCAAGTGAAATGCACTCAACTCTAAGATTTGACTCTTCTACAAAATAACAGATACTAACACTAACCATTTCTTCTTATCAAAAAAAAAAAAACTTTACTTTTTAAAAAGAATGAATGCATTATAATTATTTACACCCAAATATTTCCTCTTCTTTTTTTTTCTTCATGCACTCTTTATTTATTTAGTTGTTTATCTCTTTTTTACATGCTCTCTCTATCTTTGTGTTTCTCACATTCTCTCCATCTAATATCCCCCTTTATATCTCCATCAAAATTACTCTCTCTCCCTCTCTATTAACATCTCTCTTGCATTTTCTCCATCTCTCTAGCTTTGTCTATCTCCCCATTTCTCTATTAGACTTTTCCTTTATTTCTCTCTTTAGTTTGGCAAGACGAACCTAAACCAGTTATACAACCCAACCAAACTGTTGACAAGGTTCCCTACAAACGAAACACCCCCAACTTACTCTCGACTCTAAAAGTCTTTCTGCCTTGTAGCGAATAAAGGTTATTTTAACTAATTAAATTAATTGGTCAATCAACTCTAAACCAAGCTGGAATTGCCAAGATGTGTAGCCTAACTGCATACCAACCTCAACCTCACACCACACGACTCGACTATAAATCTATAGGGAAGTCTCGACTGCATCAAAACCAAGTTTTAGATCCACTAGTCTAATTAAAGACGGGAACGAAACTAATGCACACACCACCACATCCTGCTACAACTACCAACAATATTGCACCAAGCGAATTGAACCAACGTCGAAACTCACTAGCTAGAAAAAGAAAAACAAACCTTCAAAACGGAGGACAAGCCTCGGTAAGCAAGAATGAACCGCGCTACAACTACAAGGCAAAAACCCAGGATTAGGCGAACAAACTCAGGCGAATTGAAGGAGTAAAGAGTCCTAGCTTTAATTATCATTTTAAGTTGAACTTAAGAAGTACCTTATTTTGATAGAGTACATTTTTATTTTCATTCCCTTTTGATTTTTTTTTTTTGGTAGAATTCCCTTTTGAGTTAATACTTTAATTAATAGAAGTGTTTGTTAGGATGAATTGGCCTTTTTTTTTTTCCTGTTTTTGCAAATCCTTTATTAAAATATATAACCCAAATAAGGTACTCTTTATTTTTGTAATTATTAAAAGACGTATGACCATCAAACCAAAATTTGGCAAACTCTTAGTAAAATCTAAAACCAAACCATTATTAGAAGACAATTATTAACTGAGAAAAAATAGAAGGGAGAAAAATCCTAGTTGCTGCTCCCCTCCTCCCTCTATCATCAATCCTTTTTTCTTCTTCTTCCTTTTTTGGCTTTCTATTTCTCTTATCTTCTTCAATAGTTGTGTTATTTTTTAGGTATCCTTGTAAAGGTTCCTGTCTCCCTTCAAAATTGGTTTCTATAAGAGATTATCTCTTCGGACATAGTCTATGTGAGTTTTATTATTTCTTTACATATTTCTTAACTATAAAGATTTATTGTAAAAAAGTAATTGGTGGATGCTATGTTATATTAAGACTATCTCAATAATTACCTTTTTCAAGTTTTAGTTTTAATCATAATAGAGTATATTGATTTGCAATTTTACTTTTAAATCAAGAACCAAGTTTAACTATACTTTCATATAACCATTAAGATTACTCTATTATTGTACGTTTAACCAAGTGTTTTGTACTTTTATGATTATAATTTGTGATGCCTTTAGGGTACTATATAACATAAGTTGACTTATAATCTTTAAGTTTTTTTTATTTATAATTGATGAATGAATATTTACTTTAAAAAAAAAAAGAAAAGAGGAAAAGTAAAGAATAATAATGACTCCATTCCCTATTCAAATTGAGTTACAACACTGAATTGATTTGGTATCTCATGGAAAGAACCCTCCCTTAATTTCCATCTCTAAGACCAAACATTGCACTAATTTTTCCCCGATTAAAAATCAAAAACAAGGAAAAAACGAGAGACTCTTTGCAGCTCATGAATTTCCCTATACTGCAAATGGGAAACAGTTTTATTAAACCTTAACTCAAGTTATGGAGAATGACAAGAACTCAAAACCCAAAAGGGAATTGGGTACCAAACTGAATTGGCACTTGCATCGGCATTGGCGTCGGCGTTGGCAAGTTTGGTCTGGGACTCTTCGGCACAAACTTTCTAGCCCAGACATGCTTCCCATTGATAGCAAACTTGACTTTGCTCATTCCATTGAGGATCTTATCGATGCTAGCTGCAGATTTGAAGACAATCTTAGCAAAGAGAGCCTGGTCCTGTGGCTGATGCACTTCCTGCATATGGAAGGACTCAATGCAATCCCCATGGCTCCTGGTGAAAAATTCCCTCACTTCAGATTCAGTCACAGGGTACCCCTTGGAGAAGGTCACAAACATTGTCCTGTCTTCTGGGGGAACCCCAGGAGGTACCATACGAGGTTCTGGGCTACCCCAAATCTCATGCTGCCCCACCACCAGCTGGGGAAGAAAAACAGATTGCTGCAAAGGATTTGGCATCATAGTCTGGCTATCAGCCGTTTTTTGGGCAGCATTCCTTCTTACAGCCTCTTGCATTATGTCTGATAATGCCCTGATACAGACCTCATTCATGACTCTTGAAATCCCTTGGGTTGCAAGCAGCCTGTGCTCATGAAAAAAGGGGATGGATATATCCTTCCTCATGAAGTTCTGGGTCAGAGGGATCTCATTTGCTTCGGAGGAAGAACTAGCAGCATGTTGATCGTTGTTGTTGCTGATAATGTTCAGACAAGTGACAGCCTCGTCAGCTAGCTCATTCACTAGGGCATAAGGCAAGGCCAGCATCCTGTGCACGACATCATAGAAGCCTACCCTCTCAAGCCAGAGCCATAAGGCCATGACCTGAATGGATTCAACAGGGTCTCTCCACAGATTCATCACAAGGATGGTATACAGCCGCCTGTCAATTTGGTGAAATAAGTTGAGCTCCTCTTGGGTAATGGAAAAAGAAGAAGAAGCATCCATCTTTGGAAAATCAAAAGAAACCAGAATCCTGCAAAGGAAAATCAAAGTTCATTAATTATTCATAAAATCTAACATTTAGCCCAAGAAAAGGATTATGAAAAATGGATTAGAAATGAGAGAGAAACCTGACTTAATCTCTTCTCAGTTCTCACAGTCAGAACAGTGTGTTTGGGGTTGGTCAGTATATAAGAGGATTGCCAATGAGGTGCTAACAAAGATTGCCCTCAATTTCTTAGCTATCTGTTGCTCATATTGCCATACATTGGTTGGTTTTTTTGTCATTTTAGAAGAGAACTTCTATGGTAAAAAATATTAATGAGTCTGCCATTTTTCTAAATATTCATAATTGTGAACATTTATAGGTTTGCCTTTCCAGGGTAACAAATATCTGGAATGCAGGAAAACTGCAACAAATGTCTAACCTGGCACAGACCATATGGTAACAACCTTCCAATGCTTTTTTTCCTTAATTTTCTGGGTTTTTCTTTGTCGTTTTGTGTGTTTATGAACAGAATTACTTCTGGTATTGCAGAAGCAAAATGATTCAAACAAGTCTAGCCTTAAAACACTTGTTCAGTTGTTCAATTTGGCTTGAATACTAAAACATGATCCTTGTGGCATGACTAAAATATTTGCTATTTTTTCCTCCAGAAAAATGATTCCAGCCAGCTAGCCCTTATTTGGAAGAGCTTAGCCAGCCTTCGAACACGGAACCAGTAACTTAGACAGATATCCAATAATACATGCCAAACCAACAGGACCGTGGGATGGCCCTTATGTCCCTGTTGGTTCCACATCTAAGTGGTAAAAATGCTTCAAGCTTACCCACCCCTCAACCATTCATATGAATTTACCATATCAAAAGCTCTAGTTAATACTTCAAGAACTAATATGCTCATAACCTTTGTTCCAAAACATAATTAAAGAATCAAATTACCTGAAAAACGAAATTAACGAACACGATTACTTACTAATAGAATTAACAAACTTGATTAAAACTTAAAAGAACAAACTCAATCTAATTAGTTACCTTGACATATCATTCTGTAAATGTTAAGCTTCATTTAGTGTTTAGAATTCATATCAAGGGATTGTTGTCTTCTAAATCCCCATTGTCAACTACAGCATTAGCAAGAAAGTGTCAATTGAATCAAATATATCATGGATAAAAATGTTTCAAACATAGAGTAGATCATGACAGAATCCCACATCAACTTCAACAGAGCAGGGAAAACAATCAAAAGCACCAAGAGGTGACATGTTGACTCCAATAGGAGAGCTCAGTAAGAAGAAAAGTAACTCTAATGCTTTTGCATCATAGGACACTGCTAGTGAAGAACACTAAATCAGTGAATCCATGCTTTCACGGACAAAATTGAAAGATATACGATCAACATATACCAATTAAGAAAGAAGAAATATATTTTACTTCGCATATAATACAAGCAGCAGTCTCATGATTGTCCAACTCAAAGCAAACAAGAGATGAACAATAGTATATCTAGTATTACATTCTCAAATTGCCCTGCCAAGGTAGACCTAGAGCAACAAGCCAAGTACAATAGGCAAACCTATGACAAAGAAGCAGGAAACTGAATAAGACAGACTCCAAGAGAGTGAACTTTTTTGCCAGCTTCAAGATCCACCTACCACAGTGAAAGGCATTAGTTGAATTCAGTTAAGTTTGTTGTCCTTGTCTCCACTACGAACAGCCAAACCAGTTATGTTAGGAGTTACAGCAGCAACACATTGTAGATCAGACAGAGAGAAAGAGCGACAGGGAGGTTTCTGCTGGGGAGGTGGTGAAGATGATATGATGTTGGGCGATTTTCTAATTTGTGGGTGCAAAGGCGGAAGGGCACAAGGTAGTGATAATGAGTTGGATTGCCCACTGTCATTGGAGGCAGCCCCAGGGGTCACAGTGCTTCGGTTGTAATTAGCTTGCCTCTTTGATATCTCACTTCCATTATCCTTTGGAGGATACTTGTGGTTCTTATCCAACAAAACAGCATGAGCTAGTAAGTTCTTTCGTTTCCTTGTATAGGGATTTTCAGGCTTTGCAAAGTCTTCGATTGAAGAAGCAGTGGCTGCATCAGCTAGACTAGTGAAGGATTTTGATTTTCCACTATAAAATTTGGACATGCCTCTCCTGAAACAAATAAAACCCACAAATATCAAGAAATTGAAGCCTAAGTAATTGTTTGATCCACCAAAAATAGTGCATAACTAAAATGATGACTGAGACCAAAACAATTTTTGTGTCATTCTAATGAGGACTACTGTAAAATGGTACAATATACACTAGCTTGTTGGTTAATACTTGGAAGTCTCTATAAATACCCATTTATTAAAAATGAAAAACCATCTCCTTTGAGGAAAAAATGCTCCCAAGCAGTAACTCCAAGTGGTAACTCTTAACATTTGCTTGAGGGAAAACAGATGCGCAAAAAATAGGTGTAAAAGATGAAAATACTCCCGGTTAGGTAGGGTGAAAAGAGGAGGTACAAAAAGATTGACTTTTATCTTTCCATACAAATCCATCCCATCTAAAAACAGTAGGACCAATCAAAACCTAAAATGGATTACCATTATTCTCAATGTTCATTCCTTCCATTTATCTTTTATTAAACCAAATAACTAGAGAGGAGATAAATATCAATTTTCTATGTTTCCTTGACTCCCACTATAGTCTAAAATTGCAGCAGACCAACTCACATCCAGCTTGTAGGTTTCATCAAGATCAACAAGGAGCATAGACTTTGGAATTAGAACACGAAACGCCTAAAACAAGGCCTCTTACGTTGATTTACCAGCACCAGTTCCACAACATTACTTGTGGCAGCTAAGTAGATTCTACGATTGACACGCTATATTAATTTATAAATGGATCTTAAATTAATTCAGGTGCTAGTTTCTAAGCTTGACTAGTTACTAACAGACTCTTCACAATTTAGTTGTTATTACCCATCTAAAAATTATAGTCTTCCACCTCTGAAGGTTCAGGCACTTCAAAATCAAATTCCCTTATGAAATGGGAATTTTTACTAGATAAGTTGCTGGATTCCCTTCTCATCTTTCTAGAGAAATAATAAAAGAAAATCAAAATTTCTCAAACTACATATTAACTAATCCCTCTAAACCTCTAACATCATGTTCCACAAACAAGGGTTTACAAATCAAATCAGAATAAACAGAAACGCAGCATCAACCACCCACCAAAACCCAGCATTAAAAACCAAGATTAATCAATACCCATAAAGCCAAAAATTAGAAAAGTCGAAAACTTTACCTAATAGGCAACACCTCCTCTAAATCATCCAAGGTATCCAAAGGTCCTTTAAACGAGCTCTGCACCTCCGTCTCCAATGAATCCTCGCAATCAGACGATCCACCAGATGCGTCACTATTCCTACCGATCGATGACGAGCTACAAGAGTCCGAATCCTCATCTCTCTCCATCGGCATCCGAGCACGAGCGTTCAAGCCTTTCTCCTCCGACGAACCGTAGACTGAGATGCAGGGCATCCCGTGGATAAACCCCGAGCGTTGGATTGAATTACTGCTATTCCTCTGCAAAGCGATCGACATAGTGGGAACTGAAGAGACAGAAGAGTGAAGGGAGTCCAATAACGGGTATTAATAGCCGGTGAACAGCACATGGGATGGCGATATTTCCGCCATTGTCGATAAGAGAGAGAGAGAGAAAAAAAAAAACAAAAACAAAAAAAGAAAGTGAAAAAAGGTACTTTCAATTTTAATATTTAATTTTGATTCCTAACTGTTTTACTATTCACTATTCATGCGACATTAAATTATATCGACTTGTAAAAAAAAAAATTAAATAGAGGAGGACAATTAATATTAAAGGTCAGTCTTTTATTTAAAAATATATATTTTATATTTTAATATAATTTCAATTAAAAATAATTTTTTGATTTATTATGT